TCAGATCTACAGAGATTGGAACACAAATTGTAGGAAGGACCCATTTCATGGCAATCACAACTCCCTGCCAGTAGGTTACTCTGACTGTGCCAACATGTTTAACCACCACCCTTCCTATCCCTGCAAGCTTGTGACCTGAGATAATGATTGTCAAGGCTTCTTTTCTCCCTACTACTCCATCCCCCCAACCACCATACAGTTCCCTTCTGTCAATAGGTGCTATCAGTCTTTTCTTGATGTCAGACTCTTGCACCCCAACAGAGACATCAATCAGCTGCATTAGCAGACAGTCTTGTTGGCCATCCTTAGGCTGCACACCCAGTCAGAGCAAAATTGCAAGTGCAGCAAGGAGAAACATTAGTAGTTAGAACTCCAATGAGCCTTTCAAGAAGATTTACTTCCACCTCACCTCCATGCTCTCCCCAAACCCTCATGCAAGAAGCATGTCAACTAGGGATCCAGATCTGCCATTGACATGTCTAGCCCAACCCCTCCTTTCTACCATTGCCACTCTCATTATGCTCCTTACCTCTGCAGCAAGCAAGACTGCAACCCCACAACCCACACTCATCACTCCCTCAAGGAAACTGCTCTCACTGCTGCTTATATCTCCTTACCCCTTGACACTAATTGTAACACTCTCACTCATGCCTCCAATAAATCTGGAGCTGTCACTGCAACCAATACTGAGAAGTCCAATGCTAGTAATACAGAGAAGACCCCTGTCAAAAACCCAAACCAAGAGATGTGCAACCCAGATCTGGACCCTGAGTTGGCCAAACTTGCCACCTCACAAACCAATGCCTTGTTGGATTAACTCTTCCATTCCCACTATACTTGCATCCCTTGAGGCTTCCACCAGTTCAAAAAATAAAATATATAAAACTCAACTCCATGGTCTTTACTCAACTCCACAGTCTCAACTCAACTCCACTGTCCTTACTCAACTTACTGTTAAATCATTGCTGTCCCAACACTTCAAGGCTCCTTTCATTGTCCACAATGCCTGGAGTGCATATGTAGCAGTGCAATGCCAAGAGCACATCACATGAATGCTACTTGTTGTACATCCAATGGCTTACTACTAGTTTATTACCTAATGCAGTTCTATGATATATAAATATTCACAATGTATTGTATTAGTTAGTTCTCTCAATCTCAGAACTTACAACTGTTCTATCTGAGGGACTCTAAAACTTCATCATGCAATGTTACAGTAACTACTCAGCACTCTACCATCACAGCTAGATCCCATGTGATGAAGTCATGTGACTTGTACAAACTTGTGCTGTGTCCACATCAGGTGCTGCCCAGATAAGATAGTCCTAGATGTCAATAATGGTGCCCAGGAACAATTGGGTCTTATCAGCTGTTCCAGTGATGGGTGCTGTAGTAGTGTTGAGGTCATTGTGGCAGATGCTATGGGTGTCCCCCTGACAACATCTCAAACTTTCTCCTAGCATAGCTTTGCCATGATCTTAATCATCCAGATTTGATAGTTGTCAGGTCCAGTTAGGACTGGAGAGGTAGTGGCTTCAGAGTTTGGCATGATTCAATGGAGAAGCTGTTAGAGGTTTTATCCTGCACAGTTGGAACAAGAGTGGGAGGCTGTATAGTCCCTTTGAGTTCATCTAAAGTCTAATCTCAATTTGGTATTAGGCAACAGGGCCCATAACTATCAGAGATAGACATTGAACAAGTGTGATGGCTAGAGAAAAGTGATTTACTCAGTCACACTCTATGGAGTAGAACAAACTATATTGAATACCTAGAGAAAAGTAATTTACTAGGTATCATAAGTAATTGCAAACTTGAAAGTTAGTTAAGAGACACACCTCAGTCACACTCTATGGAGTAGAACAGATTGAGGTGTGGGGAAAACAAATCTAAAAGAATATAGCCAAACACACATGACAGAGACATGTCATTAAATGAGGATGCACCTACCTCTCAACAAGTAGAAAATCAATCATTAATGATAATATACCATGTGCTAGGTATGATATACTCATTGGATATAGGAACCAAGAGAGTGAGGAAGTAAGAAGGGGCCAGGTGGTCTAGAGGTTGGCTAGATAGAGGCACCAATCCCCACAGACTAAGCTAGGCAAGGGTGGGACAGTCCAAAGACTAGTCCCCTTACACCAACATGCTTCACTGATTGACCCTTGAGACTTGTTGATTGTCATAGCAAAGATCAATTGAACTGGAAATTGTCTCCTGTGTAATGGAATTGACAAATCCTCTTCAGAGACATGCATGTTGATTCTTGGAATTGAAACAATTGAGCCTACAAGTCTACATCTCAAGTTATGTATAGAAACCTGTTCAATTGCCTTGTCTATCTCTTTTTTTCCTTTTTCCTTTGTTTTTTATTTATCTTTATCTCACCACCAATCAACACCGAGCCCGAATTCTCTGCTCTAAAATAAATGCATATATTTACCACATCCTAAGTATCGAGACCACAAATCCAGCTAAAATTCTTGTACACATTGAATTTATATGTAATTGTTGCTTCAGAGATCGCAAAGTGTCATTTCGGAGTTGGCAGTAATCACCAGTTAAGGTTTTGGTTGAGACATCAAAAAAAGTTTACAGCATGGTTCTCTTCCATGAACCCAACTTTCCCATTTCTGGACTTCTGTTCGAGTAGAGTTCTTCGGTTCCTACATTACTCTCCACACCTCTCACCATATTAGCATATAGGATTCCCAATGTGATATTCTTAGAAGACTTCATCACTTGCAAATTCCATTTGAAACCCTGATTCTATACCCAAGCGAAGTAAATGACAAGAAAATATGATGTGTGTACAGATGTATACAAAAAGACATTACAAAAAGACATTACAGGGATGCCTTAGTAGCCACCGGAGGAGAATCCTTCTTCAACACTTTAGAAATCAACCCTGCCAAGGGCGTTGGCTTCGATTCTAAAGCTATCTTCAAAAACCACGGTTTGCTCATATAATTCCGAATCCTGGGTAGTAAATTAAATCAAATCCTCAATCTTGGGCCGGAGCTGCACAACTTACCCATCAGGGAACAGCACGACGACATTCAAGCCCTCCGTATCAGCGACCTTGCGTCCCGCGTCACTGCACAACCAACGTAGCGCACCACTCAAAGCACTACCACTACTCCCACCAACGAGAAGGCCTTCTTCCCGCATGATCGTCTGAACGGCTGCAAACGCTTCCTCATCTGAGGTCTTGATCCAAGAGTCGACTTCATCGTGAGACAATACATCAGGGATGAAATCATAACCGATGCCCTCGACGACGTATGGCGTTCCCTCTTTGGCTTTGTTCAACTCATCCGGGCAAGCGAGAATACTTCCATGCTGTAAGATGGTGTTACATACTTGATAAAGAGGGTGGATCGAGGCCGAAGATTGACTTACGGGATCAACACCAACGACAACGCAGTCCTTGTTATGGGTCTTCTTGATAACACGCGATATACCGCTAATAGTCCCACCCGTCCCAGCACCGGCAACTACGACATCGACCTTTCCAGACGACGGTCTCGCAAGAGTCGAGGGCGTAGATACAACAGCCTCGATAATTTCGGGCCCAGTAGTATACTCATGTGCAAGTGGATTGTTCAACTAAACCGTGCGGCCCGCATGAGCATTGAATATGGACATGATTAACGACTGACGTTTCCATACTGATCCAATATTATACCATACGGTATTTCTCGCTGCAGTTTCCGAGCGACACCTACGATCGTTGAGGAATTCAGCCAGAGCGTCAAGTTGGGATTGTACCTATATGACTCTCCGGTGAATCCCACGCTGCTTCGCTAGGGGTACGAACGACCTCGGCGCCGAGAGCGCGAAGTGCAGCTTCCTTCTCCTGCGAATGAGATCAGACGGAACTCGAGGAAGAGGATCTGATGAGAAGGACACGTCATAACTTACAAGCGACATCTTGTTAGGCAGTGTTATGATGACGGCATAGCCCTGATCTGTAGTATTCAGCGCCCATATTGACAATTGCTCAGTGGCCAACAGACTTTGATAGCGCAAGCCATTGCTAGTCCAATGCCTAAGCCACATGTTAGCACACGAGGCATAGGTAGGACGCTCCCCGACGCACCAGTATTACCAGAAGTTGGCTCAATGACGACACTCTTGCCGGGTATCAACCTCCCCTCCCTCTCCGCCGCCTCAACCATCGCTTTCGCAATACGATCCTTAACAGACCCACCAGCGGACATATACTCTACCTTCCCAACTACAGCCCGTCTCAGCATCCATAGTATTCTTGCTGATATGAACCCGGAACTTACGAAGGTTACATCTGAGCCCGTTGAGCCTCGCGATCTTATCGAGCCGAATCAGGGGCGTATGGCCAACCGCATCGAGCGCGTTGTCTAGTATCTGGGGCATTTCCGTCGTGGGAAGTGGGGGGTGAAAGCGTGCTTGAGGTGTCTGAGCTTGTATCGTGGCTTGCGGAGAAGGCCGACCCGGATCCTGTACTTTACCGTGACCAGTAAAGAAGGGCAACTACTTTGACCTCGCCCATCAGCCGTTTCTGTGTGTCTGATATAGTGGTATTGCCTATTGATATATTGGTATAACCTATTGATATATTGGTATAACCTATTGATATATTGGTATAACCTATTAGACTGGATTCGTTTGGTTAGGTAAAATCAAGAGCCTCCATCCAAGCTTCAAAGAATGAAATCGTTCACTCCGACTCGGACTCTTGTTCAGTTTCCCGGAAGAGGCCCATCAGTATTTCTTCTGGTGCGTCTGACATAAGAATGTAATGTACATATATTAGAGATGCATATGTGCGTCCGATATAACAGTGTAATGTATTAAACTGGATTCATTCACCGTGAGGCTGAATGAAACGTTAAAATCAACAGCCCCCGTGCGCTGGCTCCATTCAGGCATTCAAAGAAGTTCACCGTTTGGCAGCGGGCCGGCCATAGAGCGCCGGTTGATCACGATCTAAATAAGTTATGATCATCGCTTTACAAGTCCCTATCGATTAGTGGTTAAATCATCTCGTTGTGGTTGTTTGCGCTCCGAGAAGCCCCAGGCTCGAATCCTGCTAGGGACATTGTCTTAAAGGTTAATCGTACATTTTTTGTTTTTCTTTGGTTTCCTGCCATGTCCACTTGATCTCCTGCCCATGTCCCTTGAGAGTTACCTCATACAGTACCAACCGCATTATTGCAAGTAAGCTACTTATGTTGCTGGGGCATGCAATAACAAGGAATAGCAATGCATACAGATCATTAGTGATTTCGGCGGCAGTGCTAGCAATCCAAATACGATACAACGACCAAGCTACAAATAGTTCTTTACAATACAACGCCTACGAGTGGTTCTTCAACATTTCCGTATACAAAGGCCAAGGTCTGCCCATCCAAGTCATCAATTCCGTATGGTCCTTGTACGCATCGTCCGTGTTGGGATGTATGAGCACCCTGATATGACGCACACAAAACGGTTGTCAGCATCACTACCAAAATAAGTATAGACAAGATTAGACTGAATAGTGGATAGAAGAGACCACAGCATATGGTGTGTATATTCCGGGTTCCTGGCTGATGTCTCCCATGGTTCGAATATCCGGTTCTACGAGGTATTCTCGTACGCATGGGTATATAGAATAGATATGATATCGATAAGCTTCTTCAAATCCCGGTGTTTCATCAGGGAACCCACGCATATATGCGCGTTGTAACTCGGGTAGTAGATGGAATGGAAATGACGTACGAGCATGGACCTCGGTGGACGGTGAGCCACGAAAAGAAAGCGCCAGTCTGATGAGGTGTGAATGTGTTCACCTCAAACATGGTGGTGGGGTGTGGTCCTGGAATTGGAGCAACATCAGTCGCATCGAGGTGTCCCTTGAAGCGAGAATTCCTCACCGATGGGTTTTTCCCAGAATTTATAGATCCGTAGCTGTGATATAGAAATTAATACAAGGTGCAAAGAGACACTGCAAGGCGGGTCTGACCTCTGGAAACTCTCTTCTGATGCGCTCGTGCAACTCGCGTGCGTATTTCATCTCGCTCGGAACGTTGTGCATATAGTAGACTGTGGTAACGGCATGAGCCGATTCCAGGGGCTCTGTATTAGCTCACTGTGAAAGTCGAATCCATTGTTGGATGAATCGATTGGTTGGGGGAATTCTTCATAAGCAGAGGATTTGACGTTGGTCGGGGGGTTGTACAATGACTTGCCGTCGGGGTTCAGCGTGTCTGGAAGAGGCTCGGCGTTCTCGTAGCCCGTAAGAGGAGATTGGACTGGGTTGGCCATGGCGAACCTTGAGTTGGTAAGCAATTTGACATGCGATCATGTCGAGGGGTTCAAAATTTCTGCGTTCACGCGCGGGCACCGATGTGGAAATCGGAACCCAGCGACTGCGCAGAGTTTGCCATCATTTCTCGGCAGAGGGCTGACGTGGGACAGACGGGCATGATGGGCTGCAGGTGTACACAGGCGCCAAGGACGTGAGAATCACCAGCGGGCGAGTTGCCGGGCATGATGGACGTCGTGCCAAAGAAGAGACGACGGCGAGACGTGGCGCACTAGAGTGAGGGAAGGCGAGTGACCAATCGGGAACAAAGCGTGCAAGCGATGCCGCATTGATGAGCTTACACATACCTCCACTTTCTCTAAAAATTGTGACCATGAGATCAAATTTGGCCAACAGTTGGCTGCACCGAGACTCGCCAGCCCCGTCCGATCACTCTCCTCCCCCGCTCATCTCCTTCACGTCCTTTTTCCGCAAGCAGCCCCGCCCGCCCTCCCTTCGTTCTGCTCATTCCTCGACCACCGCCTCCTCCTCCTCCCATTCTCGTCCTGTCCATCCCTTCTCCCCCATGCCCGTCGCCCCACTACCTGTCGTCTCTGCCAGGGATCCTGTCGAGGTTGAGGCAGAGTGCCCAGTGTGTCTCGAGCCTCTCAGCTTCAGCTTTCGCCTCCCAGGCGAGAAGCCTCACATTGTCCCCGAATGCAGCCATGCCCTTCACGAGGTCCAGTCCACTTTTGCTCCGTGTTCCCCGCGCTCATCTCATTTTTAGGCATGCTTCACCGCGGTATACGGCCCTCCACCAAATCAAGCTCGCTCGACTGCGTCCAGGAGAACCAATCTCGGAGTTTGCGGTGTATGTAGACGCCCCATGAAAGTTGGCGATGGTGACGGTGGCAAATTAAACAGTCTGTCTGCCCAGTTCTTCAGTCTCGTCCTCATCTGACTCTCTTCGCGCCCAGAACTGGCTGCTCTCACGGGCATGGGTCCCAGTAAATCTGCTTCTCTATTTCCAGGGCGTGATGCTCCAACAAATGCCCGCGCCCCTAGTCCATACAACCCAAACGACGACGATCCCTTAGAGACCACTGGTTCAGTCAGATCGGGCCCGAACGGCGACCATTACCCATACATCATTGCCCCGTCAATCCAGGTTCGACCTGAATTTTCGTCTCTCACGAGGTCCAGTGACTTGAATCAACCACTAACTTGTATCGTCGTAATTGAACTGCCCGGAAAGCGAGCGGCCGGAAGCACACCAGGCCCCGTCATGAACGACGACTTTGTGCGCAGTACCAGCTCTCGTTCTCGACAAGAACCCCATTCTGGCCGCTCTAGCCCACACCCCGATCAGTTGCGAAAACGTCAACTACAGCAGCAGAATGGAGAACACGACCCAGGCTCATACCAACACCATCCCTCAGCATCTGATTCCTATACCCAGTCGCCCACCCCATACGATCCAAACTCATATCAACATTCCTCTACTGCATCTGAAGTACATGGTACATCTTCCACCGCACATAATTCCTACATACCCAACCACGCTCATCACGAAGAAGATTCCCCATTCCATGCTATCACGGAGGACCTCAGAAATCGCATCATCGACTGGAAAGGTCATCCTCTGTCGGACTTGGGGCCGTTGCAGATGTACGATCTGTTGTCGGTTCGACGAGATACCGCGGTTCGCGAGTTCTACGTCTATCTCTTTAGGGAAGCAATCATCTGTGTCGTGGAGGAGAGAAAACGCGGACTCGGCCGATTACTTTCCAATGCATCTGGTTTCACAGATCCCGGATTCTCAACTTCCAGCTCGGGCCAGTCAAAGGGTGTCTTGCGTTTGAAGGGGCGCATATACGTCCGTCACATCAAGCACGTCACAGCAAGTTCCGCCGCAGGAGAGATGAGTCTGACGATTGACATGGAAGACGAGCTCGCGTCCTTCATACTCATTTTCAGGGACCGGGCGTCTATGGACGCTTGGAAGAACAACATCCAAACTCTCGTCAACATGTTCCAACAGCAGAATGGCATCTCGCCTCCCCAACCTAATCCAAGGGTACCCGATATGGAGGAATTTGGTGGAAGCCAGAAGGCATTGCGTGTGCTGAGTGGCGGGAGCACTCAAACATCGGTTAGTACGGTGGACAGCCTTTTGAACGGCTCATCCCGGTCCACCCTTTCCTCTTCCACTTCACATGGCTCAATGCCTCAACGGCATCAGATGACCCCCAATAAACTCACAACGCTCGCTGAAGACGACCAACTCAGCGCGTACTCGCCAACGTCGCTTGTGACGCCTTACACATCCTCAGGACCGTCCAACTCCCTGACACCTCTGCCACACCCACCTCTGGACCTTATTCTTGTTATTTCTATACCCCCGCCCTCTGCTGTGCCCAGCACCGCGCAATTGAAAATTCGTGTAATTCGTACTACCCTTGATTTCATGCTTGCATCAATGGCGAAAAAGGATCGGCTGAGCTTGGTTACGTTCGAGGTTGGCCCCTCAGGGAGAGTCAGGAAGACGCCGTTCTTGAGTCCTGGGAAACCCCAGAGCCGAGCACGACTGGAAAAGTTCATCGACGAGACTGGAAATAGGATGGAAGAACAACTTGATGAGTTCCTTGTTAGAGGTTCCAAGGAGGAAAAGACCGATGTCGTCACTGCAGTTAATCACGGTCAGTACTTCTGATGTTTACATTGTAATTGTGACGACGACTTATCACTCTTCTATTCTATTTCAGGCCTTGACGTTGTTCTGCAACGTAAAGCTCGCAACCCTATCTCGGGCATGGTCCTAGTTAGTGATGCCTCTGACAGCACTCGGCGTGCGCAAATGGATCTCGTCCTTGCTCGCGCCGAAGCCGCCAACGTGCCCATTCACTCCTTTGGTTATGGCCGCTCACACGATCCCGCCTCCTTGTGGCTCATGTCAAATCACACAAGCGGGACATACACCTTCGTCAGAGAATGGTATGACCTGCGCGACTGTATAGCCGGTTGTGTTGGTGGGATGATGTCGATCGGACTTCTGAACATGAAGATGCACATCAAGGTCGTTGATGGGCATCGGTTTAGGATCCGCAAAGTCTCTGGTGGCCCGTCGTCGATCCTTGCATCAGATGGACAAAATGTTGACATCGATGTCGGTGAACTGCGGTATGGCGAGCGTAAGGAGATGCTCATCGAGATGGAGCTTGACAACACGGACGCGCAGAAGGCAGCTCAGACCCGTCGACCGGCCAACCCACGCGCGATGAATGCCACAGATAAATTCGTGCAGAGCATGGGTCTTGACTCGTTATCTATGGAGGACAGCGATTTCACAGATGGAATGATGGATCGTATGATTGACGAAGTGCCCATTATTGAAGTCGACGGCGCTTTCTTCGATCCCGCTGCTGCTAAGAACATCACCCGTCTCGCACATCCCGTCCTTCTAACCGTAACCCTCCTACCCCCTTCGAGCAGCTCAAAGCCACCCTCGGCCATCTCTGATCCCGTCATCGTCCGCCGACGCATGGAGCTCCTTGCTTCCGACATGATCACGCGCGCGTTGGTGCTAGTCTCAAGACGAAACTTCCCACAAGCGCAAAAAATCATGGGAGAGACGAAGCGTATTCTGCAGACTGTGCTCCAGACGATATCGCGCTCGCTTCCGCCGCCCAATTTTAACGGGAACGGGAACGGGAGCACCGTCCGTAATCGCAGGGAGCTGCTGACACTTGCCGCTGTTCGGGCGATGCAGGCAATCTTGCAGGATTTGCAGACACTTTTGGAGGCTTTGGAAG